TATACTTCTGTCAACAAATTGTAAGTTTCAGTGGCAGATTTTCCAAGTTTTGTGAGGAATTTGATGTTAGCACGTTGTTCTGCATTAGCACTCAGCATTATTCCGACGGAGCTCAGAAACACGATCCGCTTCTAACAATGGTCGCGGCCAGACTAACCGATGCACGTGAATGAAACTTTGTGTGACGGTAGAGGGAAGTCCAAGGGTCAATGCCCTACCCTCCTCTTCGTCAATGACGTGGCCGGAAATGAGTCATAAAAGTAATCCGGTTTCTTTATTGCCACACCTTGTACATATGGTTTCTTCACACAGTGATGATAGACCTTAAATTTTTTTTTTTAATTCGCTTAGTGGGGGGGAGTTCAACTGGGTCCACTCGGCATGGCGGCCACTGCCTATTATAGCCTGCCCCGGGTGATTATGATGATGGAGAATTTGGTGGAATGAAGATTGGCAGGGGAAACTGAAGTACTCGGAGTAAACCCGCCCCAGCGCCACTCTGTCCACCACAAATCCCAGCTGACCAGGCCCGGGATTGAACCCAGCCCGCCGCGGTGGGAAGCCAGCGACTAACTGCTTGAGCTATGGCATGGCCTTGTAAATATTAATAATGAAAATTTGTATGAAACTGTCACCGATTAGATATTGTGTAATCATTATAGTGATTGTAATGAATTACACAAATAACATGTCATGGACAGAATTTTGTTAGTTTACTGAAACTTTGAACATGTGACAAAATAACAAGAGTCTTCACATATGAAAGGCTGAAATGCAGAATAGCTGTTTTATACTAGTGCCTATTTTGTAAGCACCTATCACTACAACTGATGGCTGTAGGAATAACAGTCTAATACCAGAAGAAACGTGTACTCCAATGGAGCAGAAATACTTCCAAAATGTGATCTTCGCAACTCTATAAGCCTCAATGCCCCAGATACTCATTTCTTACAGATTCCTTGTTCTTCATTGCATACTCACTGTACCGAAAACATGTATGAACTGAGGTTCGTATCTTAAGCCATTACCAACTCTCTGTCCTAGACAGTGGGAAAAAGGAGGACTACAGTAACATTCTTTTTCTTAGGTAAGTCATGGTTTAAAAATTAACAAAAGAGGAGGCAATGATGTTAACTTTAATGTGTAAAAGACCAGCCACTTAAAATCATAAGTAGTTACATCATTCTTTTTTCTTGCCAGGTTAAGTGACGGCTTTAAAATTAATAAAATACTAAATTTACTAAACAACACACAGGAAGGCCTCTAACTGATGAGGCAACCACTCACAATTTTCTGGGGCTGCCCCATAGTTAGGCAGTCAGTCACCAGCTTCCCACTGTAGCTACCTGTATGCCTTACCAGGTGAACTCATGTGGGATTTATGGTGGACAAAGTGGCACAGGGATAAGTTTTCCCCAAGTATTTCAGTTTCCCTTGCCAATTCTCACTCCACAAAGTGCGCCATATTCATTATCATCCTGTCATCAACTCTGACAGCATCACTGAATAAATTAAATGCATTATGGAGCTTGAATTCTGGGCCAACATGACAACAAACCACTTTTAAGTAAATGTTTTATATCTTGGTTTCACATGGAGTAAGGAACAATACAAATGCATATTTAATTTCCCTGACAGTATTACAGCAGATCACGACATAAAATTCAAATAATCCATTTATTACTTTCAGAGGAGAACCACTGTGGATGAGTACGATAACCCCACTTCTCGTGAAGAACGCATAAAAACAACAAAGTTTTAAGCTAAAGATCTAGATACATACTGGGGTTTGCCACTGAAAGGTTTGCCAGTGTTGCCAGTCCCTGGAGGTTGGTTTGGTTGATTTCAGTCGCTGCACCCCCTGTAGATCCACTCAGGTTGAGGCCGGTGGAATTCTGCAGGGCTGCCAAGTTCTGGAGACCTACTGGCAGACCACACAATTTATACTGTTACTGTTCCTCTTGCAAAGAGACTTGAAAGCAACCTTGACCAATCTAACTTCAACATACGCACACACTTATAATCCAGAATTCTTGCATATGGCATTAAATAATTTATTTTATAAAACCATAAATATAATAAATTTTCATCCCTTTATTATGGATTTGATGCACTACATGCTTCAATCGACCGTCATATCAATCATCAGGTGGTTTGAAATTATGCTGTACAGTTATCATCAATTTACATGTGTCCATACTTTCACAGAGGAAGGTTCATGGATAAATTAATGCTTAAATTACTCTGTTTTCATTCACTGTGCAGTGCTATGATTCAAGCCCATTATCTGTATATTCTAAATTGACAAAAGGTAATAAAGTTATCAACAGTCTTAAATAAAACACAATAGGAATCTTAATTCTTAAAATTCGTTTACAGTTGTTCCTTGTGATGTTATGGTGGAAGTGTCACATGCAATGCATGTAGTTTAAATTTATTTATCAAGAAGTTGCTTTTTCTTCTTGGTCTTATTTTGGAGCGACTCTTTTTTTTCTCTCTCTGGATTTCCTTACTGAGGCTTTGGTGTGTTCACTATTCTTCAGCTCACAAGGGTTCATACTGTTTCTTTACAGTTATTCTGCTGTTTACTGTAATGGTCCTCAGTCCATTATTCTGGACTCCAAAATAGTTGTAGTCTACCATCCATTGTGGTTTTATAACCACATAATAAGCTATTGTAGCTTTTGACTTGATAACAGTATTAACTTTCCATCCTGAAACAAAACAGCTAACCCTTTGAACAAACAGCCTTCACAATAACTGTTACAAGCACCAAGGCTGCTTCGAGGTAAATGTAGCTGCACAGAAAACCCCATAATTATTCTTCAAATGACCTTCAAATTAGCAGAGGCATATGTCAGTTGAAAGCCTGTTCTTTCCTCTATATAGCAGTATGCCACACTTATGCCATCAATAGATTAAATGCTGTACTAAATGATTAAACTAGCCACTCTTTTTGTCTGATAGTTGTAATACAAGTATGTCAAATCAATCTATTGTGGCTTGCAAGTCCTTCAACTCTTCTGTTGGGTTGAAGGGAGGCAAATAATGAATCCTGCCTGCCCCCCATGAAAACATAGCCGCTACAGGCGAAGTGCTGCAGGGCTGAGTGACCCAAGTGCTGGTAGTGTGTGGACATCAGTCATCATAGGGGAGACTGGTGACAGATGTGCCCAAGGATGCCTGGAAGGAGGTCCACTAGGACCCAAGGGATATGGAAGAATGCACTACAATGATCATTTCCAGCTCCTCTTTTCATACTCAGCGTGTCGACAAAGAGAAGCAGCGATAACCTAAATGACAAGGACAAGATAGAGGACAAGCCATGTCTCATGACCACTGACACAGGGGCACCAGTGATGACTGCGCCAGAGAGAACTGACCTGGCTGTATGTCCTGCAGATGGTACCAGAGGAAATTCTCCCTCACCTGAATGGGCACTGGTAAAGCTGACCTTAGATGGCACCCTCTGAGGGCCAGGTGCCAATGAGTTCATTTTGGGGCTGGATGTTTTGCATGCCAGCAACACATCTATGGATTTTGGGCACCATATGTTATAACTGGGTCTGGAAGAAGTGCCTTTATGGCACCCAAGGGCATGACTACATTCATCATTCCATGCAAACAGTGGCAGAGAGGTTGTACTGGCTCTGTCCACAAGTCATAACTGCATGGCCCTTGGAGGCAACGGAGAGTCCAATGGTACTGGGTTCAAAGGCCACCCACTTAACTGTTATATGCAGGGTGAGAGTGCAGGGAACCCCGCCCCCCCAAGAACTGCCTGTCAGGATGGCTATAAACAGCCAGCGATCCCTCAAGAGGGCCATGTCATATGGGATGTACTGACTTAAGGAGGGAGCAGATGAAAAATGATGAGGCAAGGTCAATTCTACACAAAGTGAAGGCTGGTTGTTGTCGAGTAAGGATGGACACCACTGACCACAGTCGTCGGATCAGGTATTGGAACATGATGTACCAGTGTGACATTCTAGCGCTATTTCTGAGGCTGACCATACATGAAGTAGGGAAGTCCATTAGGGATGGGGGCAGTATGACTGGACACTTCTCAGAACAAGCAACATTAAGAAGAGGGCAATGTGACAGGACACCTGGAATTCAGAATCTTGGAATCATAAATATATTACATATGCATTCACTACTAGGCAACATCACAGCCAAATATGAATTCAGAGCAAGAGGAAAGCCCAAAAAGTTGAAGCACTGCTGAGCTCAGCACTGTTTAGTCAATCCACAACAAGCTGATATAGGGACAGCAGATAAGACAGAATGAGGAGTTGGTGGTGACAGAACACATTTGGAAGAACCTGTAACAATGGAGTCTGAAAATTGAGGGCCAAAGAGACGGTCCATGACGACAGAACACCGAGCGACGAAGCAAGATCAGTGTAACAGATTGTGTGAATGATTATATTTATTTGTGAACAGCTGCAGAGAAGAGTATTTGGTGTGAAATGAAACCCATTTCAAACTCAACTTCACTGCTCAGTCAATACAATGTGACGATATAAATACAACAGCCAGACGATACCGCACAGGCTTTACTCCTCTAGAGAAGAGCTCTCATCTTTTCTCTTATGACTATTTGCTTGACAATACTTTCTAGCTAAGAAGAATTAGGAACCACAGTGTGATTCTGTATATGTTACAAGTGAGGACAAGTAAGATAAAATTTCATTTATTCAATTTTCTTATATCTTATTAAAATCACCCACATAAATGTGATCTTGAGATTCCTATACCATTCCCTTATTAGTAATTATGAATATTACTGACAAATTTCACAGTGATTCATTCGTAATCACCATCAAATAAAAAGTAAAATTGTACAATACTTTGCATGGTTGGTATGCAATTTTACATCTACACAAGAATTATATTTTTAAAATAAAGTGACATGCTGTTAATTGAACAGCTGAAGTCTGAATCACACCAGATAAAGGATCCTTTTATTTGTGGTCATGTCCAAAGCAGTTCTGAAATCCACCCAATTTCAGATCTTCTCCTTGGTGATAACATCAGAATGTGAAACTGACCACTCTCCTCCATCTAGCACTGAGGTTAAAATGTGTGGTGCGAGGTTCAGGCAACAGGCTGATTTTTAAGCCATTCTTCTCTATATGAAGTTGGCCATGTACCCAGGCTTCTATAATGGCATCCAAGTACTATGGTGAGTTGGCATCCTGCATTCTCAGACCTAAGCACCAGGATGAGGCAGCTCATCCTCTGACTCCTTCAGAGAAAACTGGATTGGTTTTCAACCTCTTTCTTGCAAGGGTGCCTTCAAAACATCACAAACTTAAAGCAAGTAATTAGATTGTGCTGTATTTTGTAAAATTATGTGTCCATTAGAGACTCAGTACAATAGCTCTGAAATTCAATAAAATAAACCCAATGTGATGAAGTGTCAAGATGTGAAACCTAGAAGCCTTTATGATTTGGTTTACTTGCAAAATGTCACATTCCTTGAAGAAAGTACATCATTAAAGTAACTTACGAACAACAAGTAGGACGTTTAATGATCAGGAATTAACTCGAGCATCACTCACACAGACCTGCCGAGTTCTGCGCGGCTTGAAGCTGCTGTTGCACAAGGAGTTGCTGCTGCATTGTACTTAGCGCTGACAAACTTGCACCAGCTGGCTGCCCATTTGCCGTTGCACCAGCTGCCGCCGCTGCACTCTGCGATGCCTGAATCTGTTGCAGCAGCTGCAATGATGTAGGCGCAAGGCAAGAGTGAGAATCTCCCTGCACCACATACGTGACCAAGAACAGAGAGAGCAGACCACATCCGCCCCTTTCAGTCCAATAACTTTTTGGGAACTCCCATTCAATTAATGTTAACTGTTATTAACTTTCTTACTACTGGCATATGCAAAAAGTGTCAGGCTATTTTGTAAAAGGTGTGGAAAGTGGTACTTTAATTTGCAGTACACATATTTTCCAAAGACATTCTTCATGATTTTATGTAACCCCACTGGTATAGATTTTTGTTTACTGCACACATTGTTCTAGCCCTACAAAGCTGATCACTAAGTATATGCATAAGGCCAGAAACTATTTTTATGCATACTCTGTTAAATATCCAAAATTTTAAAAAATAAAAGAAGGCTGTTATGTAACAACTTTTTGAACAATGAAAAATTCCTAACAAAGTTAATAAGCTTGCTCCAGTCTTCATATACAGCGTGACCCTTACTGGACCAATACAAAATATAATTAATTAATCTGAAAACTTCATAGACCTTCAGTACCAAGTTTCATTAAAATCCACCAATTACTTCCTCAAAAGTGCGGACGGACTGGCAAACCATCTCCATTATGTATTCACTTTATGCAGCTCATCAAACAATGTGTAAGAACAGAATGAAAGTTACAAATGACACCAACATCATGGCCAACATACAAGTACAAAGCAGAAAATGTTAGAAAATCAATCATTTTGTATGGTAATATATTTTAATATATAAAATGCCTAATTATAACATGCACATTTTACAGAACAGTTTGTGGACATTAAAATGAACAAAAAAGTTAATATAAATATGTACCCTAAAGGTCCTCCTTGAAGGGTTTATAACCATTAGGAAATGTCAGCCCCTGCCATTATATTTTGGAGAACAGATGTTTGAAAAGCATGTTATTTGTGTCATGTGGTGTTCACAGAGATCCACTGCATGACAAACTTCAGTGTTTACAGAACCTGACAATGTTACTCCAAATATGTAATACTGTAATGTAGGTATATAAACACTAATACGTATTACTTTCAAGTGAGTCTGAAACAATTTAATTTCGGGAAGCATGTTACATACCAATCCAGCACGGAAAGTGGCTTTTCATTTATCGAATTAGCAGACATGCAATTTGTGCTAGGAGAATGCAATGGAAATGCTAGATATGCTGTTAGAAAATACAAAAGAAAAGTATTTTATCGAAGAGTGGCAAATCACAGTTATCAAGAGGGGTAATCAACTAATTTATTTCCAGAGTCAGAGTAACTTTACGACAGGCAGTTCACTGCCAATCAGTTCACCATGGTGACAAGCCGTCATTTACAATCGCTGCTGGTCCTCGGCAGGGCAGTCATTCTCATGTCCGAGTCTCATGGGACTCATGACCACATTTTACTGTCTCGACTTCCTCAACCTGGACTGCCTGGTCCCCGTATTTATATCCCCCAGAAGGTCGCGCCATAGCTCAAGCTGTCAATCGCTGGCTTCCCACCGTGGCGGCCAGGGGTCGATCCCGGGTCTGGTGAAGTGGGATTTGTGGTGAACAAAGTGGTGCTGGGGCGGGTTTTCTCCGAGTACTTCAGTTTCCCCTGCCAATCTTCGTTTCACCAAATTCTTCATCATCATAATCACCCGGGCACGGTGGCCACTGTGCCCAGTGGACCCAGTTGGACTCCACCCCCTAATAAGCGAAATAAAAAATTTAAAAAATTACATCCCCCAGAAACAGGGCGGCCTGGTTATACCCCTAGGCACTGGATTCCTTTTCCGTCGTCTCGTACGACTTGTAGGGCTACAGGACTCAGATCTGAGAATGAGTGCACTGGCTCATCCTCTCATCAGACTCATGCTGGTCTCATTAGAGAGGATGTTACAGAAGGACTATGACCACAATTGTTCAGTTGAAAAACAAATGCTGGTCGTGGGTCTCAAGGGGCTTGTTGTCAAGACAAACTGACTCTGAATCTGCTGAGTGAGTTCAGTTGAGCGATATTCGCCGGACAGTAACAACATGAGCATAGAATTTGGAGAATATTCATTGTTAAGAACCGTTACCAAGAACCGGCTAGTGAAGGCTGAGAAGACTTAGCGTGTTCTACGAATTTGTGAAATTTACGAGTAGAAACCAACGATGGTGCTGTTGTTACTTGCAGTTCTGAAGGGTGTGTACAGTAAGTCATCAATAAATGTAATTATCCAAAACCCTGTCTACAGTCACCCTAAATCATGACAATATCAATACAAGAACACAACAATTATACCTCATGTAAAGTCATTTGTCAAAGTACTTACCGCCAAGTACTGTGGCCCCATATTGACTCCCGCAAGGTTCCACAGGTTCGCCTGCATCTGCTGCAATCTTTTCTGATCCTTCTCCTTTTGTGTGTCTGCAAATTTTACTACCAATGGTGATGAACATCCCTACAAGAAAAAAGAAAGCAAATCATAAGTAAAGAGCTGCGAATATGAAGTAGTACAGTTCACACTGACAACTTACACACTTGGAACCTGAAAATGGTAGCAGGAAGTTCGCCTGAAGCGATGGTATCCACCAATAAGACTATAAGGCACCACAATCCAGAAGACACTATCAGAACCTCAAAACTTCTAACAAATAATACACTCAATGTCAGTTGTCTCATGTTTCATATGCATTAGTTATGGACTGTCTTACTGTTATTGTCTGACAGTTCTGAATATACAGAAAGTCGAGTTTCATATTTGAACAAAGTTACTGATGAGTATGGTGTTTAATGAAAGTAAATCTCAACATTTGGATACACATATATTTATCTTTCGCCATTAAATGAAAACTTATGACTAAGCAGTAACATACCATGTGTACCATTTGAAACACATCCCAAACTACAAGCTTACAGCTATCCTGTTTTTCAAACACTTGATTTACTAATTTTTTGCCTGAATACAATGTGTTAATTTGCACCTATTTTTCATTTATCGAATTTCGGTTTCGCTACAATGAGCAACTCACATTTATAACAAGTCTTTTTGCGAACATGGAGAAATAAATACATTACAAATGGGGAGGATGTGACATTCATACCCAAGAACATCTCCCACCTTCCTAGTCCATTCAGTCCACATGCCTCTTTGTGATCATACAGAATCAGCTGTGCTCCTGCTGCTTACATCATTTTATCCATGACTGTGTTATTTGTATCCACCATGATTCCCAAACAACTAAGAATTGCTGTGCGAGGTGATGATAATCCAAAGAAAACTAAAGAAAGCAATAAAAAAAAAACCCTTGGCCTGTAGTCCGCAAGCAAATTATACCGACCGAGCGATCGCTGCTTGTCAGCGAAGTTAGTGCCAACTTTAGCAGATAGAGGGTGTCGCATGGTCAGCGCAACGGATCCCCACGGCCATTCATTCCGGTTTTCTAGACAAAAGGAAAGCAATAAATCTGGCTAAAAGCTGCAGCATTGCACTGCATCAGCTATGAGAAAACAAACGTGAAGTTCTATTTGCAACAATAAATATCATAAAGCAGTGATACTGTTTTTATTTTAACACAAATTTACTACATATATTAAAAATATTGTGTGATTTTTCTGGGACTTGTGAATGTGTCCGCATATTTTACATCTAAAATAATGGGATTTACATTTTCAGTTTACAAAGTTACACCTTACAGTTTATGCGGAATGAATTACTTTCGTAAATAGCAGGATATCTGTATATACAAGTTCACGTCAGGTCATATCAATACTGTTGTTACCTTATCTGGTACTTCCTTGTTAGAATAGACACTGCTAAATGCTTTACTAAGAGCAGAAAATGATTTTTACGCAAAATAATGTCAAAGAATGAACAGATGGTGTACTCATGAAAACACCGTGCTTCCACCTGCACAACTGGTAATAACAGCAGCCAAATAATAATGGTGACATTATCATGTCATGATAATACAGCTGGGACAGTCCACTACACAGGGAAGGAACAGCTTCTGATATAATTATTGTGTACCACAGGACACGATTGTAGTATGGGCTGCATTTTAAATGGTACATCCTACAGAAACTCAGAACTGAAATCCTGCAATCACAGACTTAACCGTATATTCTGTTCACTGACAATGGGATTTAAATTTAACCTTATACAACTCACCAGACTTGTCAGGCAATGATGGAAACTTGCATAAAAACACGTAATTTAGAAGTACAATTAGTCTGAATGAAAACTGAAGACACCTTTACCGTACTTAGGAAAAGAAGCTGGAAGCACCATAAAAGTTGCTTGATATGAACAGTATGATCCTTCCCCACCACATTCACACTTAATTGGTTTTCACTTACTTGGGAGTATTGATAATACTGTGACACATTAACACGGATGTTCCATAAACACAATTCATCAAGGAAGAACAGTAACTTTCATGGTTAGATTATGTGAAAACTAGTGAAATTTACGGATGAATGGCAGTTCATCATGGTAACAACTGGATGAGTAAGATGAAAATTTAAAAATGGGTGAAAAAAGCTGAAATGAGGATAGACGAGTGTCAGTTATGACATTCAGTCTATGCTGAGGTTAAGGGGCAGACGAATCAGCATATCCAGTGTGACTGAAGAATCAATACTGATGAAACTGCATCTGAATTGAGCACCAGTCATGGAAGTAATGACAGCCCAATCAAAACATTCTATTTTGGTGCAATCAGGAAAACTGTGGACAACTGGACCATATGCATTGAAAGGCAGGGCAATTATAAAGAAAAGTAAAAAGTATGTCTAGCTACTATGCAATTATCTTATCAAAACTTATAATAAAATTTCCTTTATATTTTATCACCATACTCTGGAGAACCATAAATACCTTTATGTGACTGAAAGTATGATGGAAACAATGTGTGATCATGGTTTTCCCCCCAACATTCCTGTTCAGGAACTGTTATAAAACGTTATTCAGAACTATCTGCTACAGATACACTAGTTCCATTCTAAATACTTGAATATTAATTAAATGTGTGTGTAAGAAATAAAGTACAAGCAAAACAACTGAACTATAAATATATATCTACATGGTTTAAGAGTTATGGCTTTCTTTAATATTAGCCACATTTAAAATGGGGGGCACTATGCTGTTGAAACCCATGGCTCATGCAATCATACTGAACCTGGGAATATAGGTAGTCTATTTATATCATCCCAAACTGAGCAACTTTGTGAATAAATTTTATTTAATTATTCTTGTCTCATATAATATAATTTTGCAGCCAATAACTGAGTGACTTATTTCCCATTTACAACATAAACTGACCCATTCCCACTATTTTATAGAGTAATGGAGTATGGGAAGTATGACCTTACCTCCATTGTTTGTGAATGGTGCATGTTCTTGATAGCATTTATGGCACACTGTTTAGATGTGTAGGTAACAAAAGCACAGCCTGCAGAATATAACAAACAAAATTAGAACTCTTGTAAGAGAACATTCATCTCCCAGCACCAGACAAGATAAAATCATACCACATAAGGAATTAAAAATCATCTAAAACAAACATGATTCTCTAAAGCACAATTCAGATATTTTTGAACAACTGCAGCAAATAAAAATTACATCAATGAAGAAGTTAAAGGCAGAATACATTTCGAGAAAACTTGCTATCATTCAGTTCAGAATTTTCTGTCTTCTCATCTGTCTACAAATCAAATGAGCAAAGTATAAAAACTCTTAAATTTCCTGCTGTTTATATGGGTGTGGAATTTAGTCTCACTTTTAGAGAAGGAAGCATAGTGATAAATTATACATAAGAGATACTGAAAATTTTTGGTTCTGACAGAGATGATATATTAGGGGATCTCAGAAAGCTTCCTGTGAGGGGCTGAATAATTTGTACTCTTCACCAAATACTATTAATGGATAAAATCAAGGCATACGATTATGATGTAGTAAGTAGTATGCATGAAAGACATAAAAATGCATACAAGATTTCGGCTGGAAACTCTGAAAGTAAAATATTACTTGCGACATAGATGTAACCGGCCAACAAATTCCATAGAGATGAGTCCTTCTTGAGAAGTCGATAGTCGTTCAGCTACTCAAGAATTAATTTTATGGAATCTGAAGGCTCATTACCATGTTCACTAGAACAAGCCACTGGTCCCTATCCTGTGCCAGATTAATCCCATCCATACCACCTCATCCTATCTTCGTATCATGCTCCCACCTATATCTGGGTCTTCTTACTACCCTCCTTCCTTTTAGCTTTCCCAACAAAACCCTGCATGCATTCCTCTTTTCCTAATGCATGCTTCCCTACCAATCGCACCCACCTTGACTTAGTCTTTCTGATTATGTTTAAGGAAGAGTTCATGCTATGAAGCTCCTCAATATACAATTGTCTCAAGCTTTCTATTAATTCATCCCTTTGTTGTTCAAATATGTGATTCTCTTAAAGTCAGAGACCAGTTTCACACCCATATAAAACTACAGGAAAAATTAGTTTTGTATACATTTTGATTTTTCCATTTTTAAACAGCAGACAAGATGACAAAAGGTTTTCAAACTGCAGCATTACCCAAATTTAATACACTCTTATATTCTCCAATAATAAAATTTTTATTTTTTACTGACATTCCCCAGTATTTTGGATTTGGGCATTTTCAAATGATCTCTTAGGCATCTTTATGTTATGAATTTGCTCTAAGTTCTGGTGATGAGAGATCAACATGCACTTATTTTTCTCTGTGTTTACCTTTATACCAACCTCCTTAATAGCATCAGTTATGAGTTTTGGGTTTTCTTCATGATATTTCTGTTATCCTCCAATAGATTTGCAACATCAGCACAGACCAGAAGATGAAGAATTCCACTAAAATTCGGTTCTATCTGGGTTCCTTGAACTTTCATAATGATATATTCTAAACCATAGTTTAAATTCAATGGTGATAAATCATCTCCTTGTTTTTGAAAATATTAGGTAGGAAACTTATCAGGAAAATGTTCACCAATACACACAAAACTATAGGGTTCATTTAAGCATATTTTAATAACCTTAACTAATTTCATGTGTAACCCAAACTCAATGAGAATACTGTACAATATTTCCTTTCTAACTGAATCATATGCTTTCTTGAAGTCTGTGAACAGCTGATGTATTGCTCACTGCACTCTCTATTACTTTTCAGAATCCGAGGAATTCAAATAATCTGATCAGTACTTGATGCACTATGTCAAAACCCACACTGATGATCCCCAATAATTTTATCTATATATGGACTTAACCTTGAGAGAAAGCTATTGGACAAAATTTTGTTTGAAGCTGCTAGTGGTATCCCATGATAATTACTGCAGTCAGTTTCCTAGCCCTTCTTGTAAACTGGTACAATAAGGGCTCATTCCACTGCTGAAGCAATTCTCCCTTATTTCACCCACAATTAACGAGGTCTCCAATCTTAGAACATGATGTTTCACCTCCTGCTTGACTCAGTTCTGTCAGAATTTGATCAGAACATGGCGTTTTACACCTTCTCAACTTTACAATAGCAATTTCAAGCTCAAAAGGGTTACGCTCAGTTTAATAATGGCTCATCTGCAAGTATTTCAATCTGTCTAACATCATTAACCCTATATATATACTCAACAGATGAGAGATGTGATCCTTCAACATATTCAATATGTTGTGGGAATCTGCAAGCAGACCACCATTCTCATCCTTTACCAAGTTAGTTCTAGGTTAGTAACTTAGTAAATTCATTTATTCCTCTACAGAAGTCTCTAGTCTTATTCTTACTGCATTATTTAAGCTCATTAAATTTGTTTTCAGATATTCCCTCTTTTTGCTCCTGAAATGTCCACTACCTTCACATCTTACACTGTACAGATTATCCAACATTCATTTGGCTTGGATCCTGTAAACATTGCAATTTGGCTTGTTTCCTTTAATTTGATAGTTTTGAACACTCTTCATTGAACCACAGTTTATGCTGCTTCTATTTGCAGCAGCCTAGGCTCCCTTTGGCTGAAATGTTTATATTCTCTCTAACAGTTTCCGAAGCTCTATTAATAACTACAGCATCATCATCATCATCATCCAGGTTTTCCAACGTTGCTAACCTGTCTGAGATCTTAACCTGATACTATTCCTCATTGGAGGGATGTGGTAGCATATTTGGTTCAGGCACTATACCACATGCCAGAAGGTAATGGATTCAATTCCCAATGAAATCATTGGATTTTTCAGTTCTCTAACTTATCCAGCTGCATTATGGGCATGGGTTCCACTGGGGTGCAAGAAAACTTCCTGAGAGTAAAGGGCAGCCGACACATAAGGCTGAAAAGCTCACTGCCATCTGTTAGCCGGTTGTCTATAAAATGTGGGAGCCTCGACATCTCAGAAACCTACTGGTCTCCATGGCCTGTTACAGGAATAGCTTTACCCTTCTTTTGTGTAAATGAATTTGCCAGTCCCTCCATAACCTCTGCAACAAGACAGTGATCAGTGTTTCAATACACTACCCTGAATGATCAAGACATCAAGTACACTTGAATACCATCTCCGATCAATCAAAATATGGTCCACTTGATTGCATCTCTTTCCAACAGGAGAACTGCCAGTTAATTTATGAATGCTGGGATGTGGGAGAATTGTACTCTTGACAATTACATTTCCGGATGTGGCAAAGTTTACTACTCCCACTGCACTATCACTAACTACTAATTCCAAGTGAATTGTCATTCCTAATTGTTGGTTTATATATGTATACCATTGCCTGCAATGGTGGACCGTCAGTAATTGACCAAATGTTGTTCTGTTCACAGCTAATAAATTCTTTACCCATAACCATATTATTTTTCGACTTTTCTTTACCCTAGGCCGTACCATAGCTCAAGCGGTTAGTCGCTGGCTTCCCACCGCGGCGGCCCGGGTTCGATCCCGGGTCTGGTCAAGTGGAATTTGTGGTGGACATAGTGGCGCTGGGGCAGGTTTTCTCCGAGTACTTCGATTTCCCCTGCCAATCGCCCTCACCTATCATCTGGGGCTGGTACAATAGGCCAGAAGTGGCCGCAGTACAAGGGACTTAGTCCCACCCCAATAGCATTAAAAAAAATTCTTTACCTATGCAACCTGCAGCCGAATTCACTAACGAAGCAGTTGCGACCATACATTTATATGACCGTTTCTGCTGGCCTCTTAAGTGTAGAACACGATGCTTATGTCTAAGGTATGTAATTATGATTCACTCTGTGTATAGTTCTTAATCACAAAGACCCAAATTTTTACGTGATGAATGAGATCAGTTATAGATCCTTGTCTTCGGGAGCGTGTCAACTAAGGAGATTACAGTTGTATTACTCGTGTTCACAGGTCAGCAGAGTACTTGAATGGGGGGGGGGTCCTCCTCTTCTTCCCTCCCTAATTCTGAGTGTGTATGGACTCCTGCCATTCAGGGTCAAGGGACAAACTGATGATAAGGTCTGTAAACAATGTTCTAATTCTGTTCCTAGTTGTGATATATTGTGGTATTAAGTATATACCAGCGTTTTAAAGGAATAAGTTTCCGCCATCTTCATGTTAGTCCTTCACCCCCTGAAGATGTCTTACACAATGTCACAATCCCGATGAACATGCTCTGAATATATGCTACCTGTGAATAACTAAAAATTTATACTGTGACATGTCAAGGCATTGCCAGGCAACGACTCGATAAACACCCTGTAACAGGCACATGCAACAGTCGGCGTGCCAGTGGACTGGCAAGATAGCTATCACGTGACTTGTTTTCAATGTGGTCTAGGCCATGCCCAATGCTAAGCAACAGATGTCTACAATAATATATGTTTTGTATGGGGTCCGTGCCGATAGTTTATATGGGCCAGTGAAGGTCGCTTGCAGTCAGTCATAGGTAAGAACCCGTGAGTCAAGGGCACGAAGCTGTTATGAAAAGGAGTTGTGAGGATTCAGCTGTGAAGTGCTGACATACATTGAAGACTTTATGTGCTATAGTTACAGTAATCTTGAGGGTGTAAGAACTAATTGTAATTACGACTAGTGAGGAGTCCAGGAGAAGATTTAGAAGACTTAGTGTGTGACGCTACACGACCTAGAGTACATCAATATTGGGAATGTGTAATTTAGTGACTCTTTCATAGTTCCTTTGTCATAAATCCGTTGCCAGGAAACGGATAGTGAATACCAGTGGAAATAGACTAAGAAGATTAGTGAGAAGTGATTATAAATTGTATAAATGAGCAATAGTGTAATAATTTTTTGTGGTTACGGCCTGTAGGTGGTTAATAAATCCAATCCGAACCCCGTATCTAGTCACTGATACACGTGACAATATTAACAAACAACGTCTTCTTCATGTCAAACTGTCAAAGTAGACGCACAAAATATTGGTCAACCTACACTTCCAACTATCCAGATAATGACTCCAGTATTTCCCCTACAAATGACCTCCCTTTTATATACTGAATGACTGCGAAGTGAGACATGACACCTAATAAATCAATGCCACCAACAAAAAAATAATATACCTTCATCAGCATGTCCATTCATTTCTCCACTTGCTTTTCAAACAAAGAAAATTTATGAGGCATTACTGCGTATGCTGCCAACCATCGTTTAGAGGATATGTAATTCTGAAGACCCCCTATCCTATTATATATACAGGCCAATATTCCCCTTATTTAAAGGAGAATTAAATTTATCATGAAACCAATGAAAGTCAAATCGAAGTCGTGTGAACTGATGTGACACCATTTTTCAACTGAATCTGGAAATACTTCATGCAAATGAATTCACTGTTCGAGAAGGGCGATAAATTCATGAATACAAATCTAAGAACAGGTACCTGTATACTATAAAGGGTGGCTTTGAATTAATTTCATATATATTATGTGATGAGGCTGAACTTCTCATTCAGAGTATTATTTTATATTATGATATATGCACATTACACACAACACCTAGTCACAGACGTATCCTGAAACAGGCCATGACAGCTTCCTTCGTAATCCTCACCTACTCATTCATTATAATCCTTCATCTTTATTCTACAGACTACTACAGCAGAAACAGCATCACTGAATAATTCAGGAATCAAATGAGAGAATATAACTAAAACAATTACATATTTTTGATGATGAAGAATATAGGCGTCTAGCACAGTACAAAAGTTTGGAGACGTGGTAAAAAGGTTAAAAGTATCCATGTAACGAGCCGTAGAGGCCCATAGGGTCGTGAGATGTTGAGGCTCCCATATTTTCTCTAGACAATCGGCTTACAGATGGCGGTGAGGTTGTCAGCCTTACGCGGCGGTCACCCTTTTACCTCAAGGAATATTCCTCGTACTCATTTCTGGTAGAGGCTGAGCCGACCCCAGGGGCATAGTGCGGATGGAAGGATTAGGTAATTTGAAACAAAAAAACACCTCATCGGGATTCGATCCGGCGACCTTCAGACTTGTAGCATAATGCCGCAACTAACCAAGCTGCCCCGTGTCCCCTTTGGACACATACTACACGTAAACACGTAAAAAGTACCAAATCAAATGATGACATTCGCTGTGACATTTTAACCTTCTTTGTTAATATACTCTTCTAAATGTTTCTGATGGCTTTGGACTCCTGGTATATATGAAGGATATTGCATACACAGATCCACACATGTGCGGGCGCGCACACAAACATGTCATGGCCGTAATCACGCTCTATTCACAACACACAGTGCCAGTTTCCTTCTCAGTTCTGGGCGAGTTATACAAGAAGTCTTCATTACAGTGCCCAGTGAATCACAACTGCACAGACTGAGACAGATGTATAGGACTCATTTCTGAGGATTGTGGCAAATTTGATATTCATACTTTGCTCCTTAATTTGATTTGCTGGTATCTTTGGTGAAATTTCTATGGCTGATATAATTACAGGTATAATTAGAACTTAATTCTATGGTCACCTAGTCTTAACCCTTTGCATATACGAACGTTGAAGTTGTGGTTATCACTCCTTGCTTTGCATTCAAAGACCTGTATCTCAATCTCTGTCCAAAGACTGGCTTAGGTTTTTTGAAGTGTTCCTCAGTTCGTTCAAACAAATACCATTGTAAAAGTAAAGCTATCCCTGTAACAGGCCGTGAAGGCCCATTGGGTTGTGAGACGTGGAGGGTCCCACATTATCTAGACAATCGGCTCAAATATGGCGGTAGGATTGTCGGCCTTACGCACCGGCCGCGCTTTACTCCCCAGGAAGATTCCTGGTACTCATTTCAGTTAGAGGCTGAGTCGACCCCAGGGGCATAGTGCGGCTGGAAGGTTTAGGTCAACTGAAGAAAATCCAGTACCCCAACGTAATCCACAATCTCGTCCTTCTAAATTACTTATTCCCAATAATACTTCTCTCTCTGCGTAAACCTGTACATTTGGGACTGTCACAAAATAATGCAAGAAATCAAGAATGAGGAAGATTATTAACGCATGCAACATTCTAACCACTAAGCCAAATTAACTCAAATTAACATAGGCAGAGAGGAAAGTATAGTATCCAAATAGATTTCAACAAATACAGTGTGAGAGTATGGAACAGATTCAACTGGCTCAGATTAGAGTCCAATCCACTGATAGGCTACTGCGAACACAGTTCCATGGAAATCGGGGAATTCCTTGACAAGATGAGTGACTAAAAGCTTCTTAAGGACTCTGTCCCATGGACCGTGAAATACACATGCACTGAGCCGCAGAACGATACTGAAATTGTCAGTATACATTCACTGTTCCACTACACTGGTAGAAAGAGAATCGTTAAGGTAGCGTAGCTGGTTGAGGCACTATGCTACAAGCCTGAAAGTCGCGGGTTCGAGTCCTTCCAGCCGCACTATTAACCTGCGGTCGGCTCAGCCTCTAACAGAAGTGACTACCAGGAATCTTCCTGGGGTGTAAAGGGCGGCCGGCGCGTAAGGCTGATAACTTTACGCCATCTGTGAGCCGATTCTCTAGAAGATGTGGGAGCCTTAACCTCTCACAATCGTCTGGGTCTTCGTGGCCTGTTACAGGGATAACCTTAACTTTTTTTTTACCTTTTGCCTCTGTTACATATGGTAATGGTACGCCACAGACAACAGGAATCAGTAGAAGGCACAGATTTCTCCTCCGAAACATTCCCTCGCCTCTGACAATACTGTCGACATGTCTTGCCTCTCCCCGGATTTTTAAAGCAAGTCTTGCAAAAATTGTTTACAAGTGTCAAAGAAAAGTCAAGGACAGCCTGAATTAGAAATACGGTTTTATGCAGGAAATTCAGGCTCAAATTTGTTAAAAGGCTTGTGAGGCCAACTATTACAGTAGTCTGGAAATGCGAAAAGAGGGCATAACAATAATACAGAGAACATCAGAAGACAATTTTAAATGAAAAAGACCTGTGCAACAGAAGGTTTAGGGACGTACTGGAAAGCCTCAAGGAGGAAAAGTGCGGGCAAGAAATCAAAAAGCACATACTGTGGAAAGAAAGAGGAGACTGCAGACTATTTCAATCGCCCTATATGCTATAACAAAAAGATGCTCTTACTGCGAGGCTTCAAGAAATAATGACTTAAATAACCAAGACAGGAATTAGATTAGGAAAGCCAGTCTGCATCGGATTTACAGAACATTTTCCTAAAAGCCACAATGTCTGGAAATTTAAATTCAATCAATGTGAAACAACGCACCTTTACTCTGTCCATTAGTGTCTCTGAGCACCGTGCACTCCTCTATTGTTCCGAAAGGGCCAAACATCACCCTCACGTCATTCTCTGTGCACTTCTTCGACAGCATTCCCACGAACAGCTTCCGCTCTGGAAAGGAAACAAGTAAAATTAACTAAATAAAGGCATGACAAAATGCACGAAGAGATTCAAAATTTAAATGAGCATCATCGCAAATAATTTCTTTTAAGTTAGAGAAGGGCATTTGACCTTGGCAGCACTGATTCTGCAGCCACACAATATTCAGACTAGGAAAAAGAGAACTAAACAGTACGCTCTGCTTGGTGCCACTGGTTTCATCAAATTCTCAACAAAGTGCAGCATTACAAGAATATCAATTTTACATATTATTTTTGTGCGTGATGATGTAATGACTCTAAACAGACAATGAGCTCTCTCACTGCCAACTCTTCGGTGACTCCTTGTAAGAAAGCTTTTGATGATACTTGCGAGTCATAGGAGTCTCAAATCTGAGAAATTAAAATATGGTCACGAATCCCAAGGGACTCGGACCCGAGGAGGACTGCGCTGGCAAGGCCCAGCAGCATATACAAAAGACAAACCCATCCTTTCGTTAGAGAGGGCGCCCCACAAAAACAAGACCGTAACTGGTCCTTATTCCCAGATGGGGCTCGACACCAAGACCTATGACTGACCGTCAGTCGCAATGTGACTTTGACTGCATTAATTTTACACCATACACACACATACACATTTTGAAAAAAAAAAGACCTTGACAAACAACGTTTAATACAGCAACCACTTAAAACCATTACTATATGCTGGCAAATTTTATAACTTGCGTAGTGTTCTAATCCACCGCTGAATTTGAGGATCCCACACGTCCCGATTTTGGCGGGACTGTGTTCCGTGTCCCGCCCGGATATATGGCGGGACACACGCATCTGTACCGCTCTGCGAAACTTCGGGATTAAGTTAACAACCAGAAGCCAAGTTTCTGCTATGCCTGTTCTGTTTTAGTACGTGCAAACTCGCCTTGATATATGATATTACCATCGTGAAAAAAAATAATATAAGAAGGATAATTTGTTGCCGCCATCTTGCGGAGGTGAGAGGGCTCCCTCCGCCGTTGTCTAGTAACGCTCCGATAACCTTGAACGCGACAGTTATTAAAACACCACCAAACTGTTATGTTTGTTTCCTGTTCAAAAAATTGTCGTCCCACTTCGCATGGTTCATAAACCTTTTCATTCTATGTACTATTTAGCTGGTCCGCAATGTTAGAGGACTCGTGTACGTTACGTGAAATCGGATTCTCGACTGGTTTACTGACCTGAATATGTAACTCTTCGCGAATCCATAAAAATATGGAATAAACGACAAGAACCCACATTTGGAGTTGCTTCATTTTCTCATCGATCTCCAGTTCACATTAAATTACTAAACTGTCGTTTAAAAACGGCTACAGCACGAAACTTTAAACTCAGGAAATTTTTTCGAGTGCAGATGTACACGAGCTCGGCTTAATGGCGAATAAACAACAAGAGATGCTTGCACTGATATTCTCGGTCGTGTGTATAATTAGTTAAGAGTTTAAAATTCAATGAGCAAGCATACTTGTACTTCCCCCACGAACACACATACACACAGAGGCTTCTTTTGTTACGGAAAATTTACCTACAATTTACTTGCCAAAGTACAGCAAATCCAATTTATCCTAGGTAACCAGTCACCGTACTGCAGAACAGTACAGGGCAGTAAATCCGATGTTATTTTTCATGTTTCAACACTTAGCCAGTTTCGAGTTATTTTGAATTTCTTTATTATACGCAAACTATAACACAGGTCCCCTTACATTATTAAGGGCAAGAGGATTTCTTATCTGCACTTTCTCGACGCTACTTAATCAAGTATATAAGCCTACAAGTTTACAAACTACACACACAAAATCCAAGTACCAGCGGAACTCCCAGTTAAGGTCTTATCGGGGTAATATTGTTCATCTCCTGATTACAAGTCATACAAAATGAAGTTGTTTTCAAGAAATTCGGCTTCTTCTTCCTTGATGGATTTGGCCCTATGGCCTGTTCCCATTCATAATTCATTCAGAAATTACGAATTGTATAGGCAGTTCGTAGTCTCTTTGGACAGGCGATTAGCCCGTCTAAAGGCCAGTACCTCCACAAGGCAACACGCACACAGAATACACGCAGATATCAATGCCTCGGGTGTGATTCGAACCCACGATCCCAGCGAAGAAGTTGGGCAGTGCAGCCACTGTGATCGGGGTTTTGAAGGAATTACTGTAGTAAATATGTGAGACCTGTAAGATACTGTATCAGAATAATCTCACTCATAAAACGCTCTGTGTAAGATGATTTGCCCAATCAAAACCAAAAGATATTCGTCTTAACCCTTTATCAACTGATATCTTATTGAGGGAGGAGGGATTCGCCCAGTGGTCTTTCTGATAGACAGTGCGGTGAAAGTGGTGAGTTCAAATATAAATCACTCCGTCCAATGTGACCTGTAAGTTTATTACTACACGAAAACTCAACACCCTTACATGTTTCGGTCTCTCTAAGTGTGTTGAGTTTTCGTGTAGTACTAAACTTACAGGTCACATTGGACGGAGTGATTTATATTTGTAATTGTTAGTGTGACGGACCAGAATGAAACTAATAAAAAATTGGTGAGTTCATGTAATCACAGACACAAAAACACTGCACAAATCGTTATTAGCATCTAGCACTTCCGACTGACGCATCATACGCCGGCAAAAATGTTAACAGTTTTGCACACCTTTATTCCCTTTGTGAATCACGGGACACTGCAGCGCCGAGCTCAGGGCTTTTACTCCAACTCGTGCTGTAACAGCTACAGTCCTCTTGAGATCGTACTTGACGGATTCGAAGAACTATATTATTTATTATTCATGTATTCGCCACAATGCAATCACCTATTTGCAACACGTGGCGAGCAGCGAAAGTCTTGGTCGCCGCTGCTCCAGAGAGTAAGAACGTTCACAGTTGGTGCAACAGTACATTACGTTACAGTGTTAGATACAAGAACTGGCTGCAACATTTTGGTTGCCTGCGTTTCAATTTTGTTCACCATGCCTGTATTTCATACCTCTCACGTTTCTTTATCATTTGCAGGACGAAGACAAAGGTACTGCAGCGAAATTACGCTCATGTTTATTTATTCATGAAGACTTTCTTCTAAATAGTACATAAAAATTCAGTTCATACCTCCCCGGAAACACAATACGTCTCGGCTACAAAGATCAACCGGTTCATATTGTATAGGGAAACAACCGTCGTTTACTTCTGAGAACCATAAGACATATTATGTGGGCAGAATGCAGAGTTCTAGTACGTCAAGGCAGGCAGTATATACAGTAACCACTTGGATTTAAAGAGATAAAAGACAGTATATAAAACAAGATCAAAGCTCCATCAGTTTCTTTCGTTCAACAAATCAGACCTATAGAGAACTTCTTAGTGGCACCTTTGACACTCGATTTGTAGGTGGTATTCTTATGTTGCTGCTGTTATATAAAGCGGTTATTTCAGAGCCTGCCGCATATCGTTCGGCCGTTCAAGAGAAGTCCCACGCGCTACTCGCGTCAGATTCGTTAGCACACATTCGGACTCGTAGCGTGGAAGACAAGCTGATCAGCTGTATGTACACCAATTTCCCTTCAATACCAGCCAATATATCAATCAACAGCTACAGTGACGTGAACTCAAGCGTTATGTACCAGGCCGAAAGCAAATCCGAAGTCTCGTATTTATACTGCTACGTTCCCGGCCTGTATGACAGGTGTGCACGGCTCTGTCATGTTACTTTCTGTGTCCAAACGTCACATGCGCCGGTCACGGTAACCGAGCGGTCTAAGGCATGTACTGTCTTCCCTCGCTTGGAAGCCGAGATCGTGGGTTCGAATCCCACTCAGGGCATGGATATTTAGTTTCTGTGTTTGTGTACAGGTAGAGGCCTGGCGACGAGCTGATCACCCGCCCAAGGAGTCCTACCGAATGTGTAAGATCTAGAAAAACCGAAGTGAACGGAGAAGTTCATGGAGGTAGGCCCGGGCCCACTGGGGCTGTAGTGCTAAGGGGAAAAAAGTCACATGCGAGTTACACAATGTTCGGAAAATTTCTGTCTCACTATCATCTAGTGGATATAAGTTAAAACTTCAAGTTCAACTTCATTACTTTGCAGCCAAGTGCTTCCTGAGAAATACAATGTCAGAGACAGGGGTACTTGGCCCTTGAAACGTGTAATTTAAATAAGTAAAATGTGGTAGTCTCGTCGGATTGAGTGCTTGTGGCACATTCTGTTTATTTGATTAAGAGTGCAAACCTCCCGTTTTGTTCAATACCGAGGTTCTCAGATGGAGGCCGACGTCCTTTAAGCGCTTGTGGTTTGATAAGAAGTGCAAAACGGCCATCTTCCTTGATCATAAGTCCCCTTATCAAGTTCTGCCCAGTCATTTACTGATGGTACAGCAGTTCACCCCCAAACTTACAACCATGCGATTTAGGTTAGGCGGGTAACCGGTAGGTGGCAGGACAGTGCGGTCCTAATTGCCTATCTATCGGAATCTTTTGCTTTTGCCCGAGTGGGAGGGTTGAGGGGAAGCCTTGGCAGTAATACAATTCTTGTGCTGCTTTTGGCATGAAATTCGTTTCCTGTCAACACGAATACAACCCTTCTTCCCAAGATGACACGTTGTCAAACTGGACCTCCGACAATCCTAGGCGAAACCAAACAGCCGTAAACATGAATTCTTTGCATGCATCAGCTGTGCTTACAGGCCTGTCCGTAACACGAATGCACAGTAGCCAATGGGGTTTGTCCTTCCACCTGATCGTGCCCTTACGAACACTCACTCGAGATGCTGGATACAATGCCAAGCGTCTTTACGTATACACAGCAGCGCGACGAGTTGCTCAACTCGAAGCGCAATTATGTTTTGATATTGAACCCATGACTGTGCCTGTGAGCGGCTTTTCGTTCAGTGCTTGAAAATTGTTGTCTTTTTTTACGGTAGTCAGTTCACTTCATTAAATTCTGTTTATATACGTAAATGCATTACATTCTCATACTATATTTTGTTACGT